CAGGCATACATACATACGTACGAGCATCCATGTATACATAGAGACTCACACGTACATGCATACATGCATGCGTACACGCATACATGCATACATACATACACATATTCATACATACATACATAATTACCAACAGACATACATACATCCATGATTGCATCCATGCGTGCATTCATACATACATACATACATACATACATACATGCATGCATACATACATACATACATACATACATACATACATACATACATACACACATACACACATACACACATACACACACACACACACATACATACATACATACATACATACGTACATACATACATACATACATACATACTTACATACATGTCTGCGTGCAAATGTAGATGCCGATCTATCTACAGATCTACATACATACGTATATAATTACATGCATGTACACATGCATGCATGCATACACGCATGCACATGCGCATACGTACATGCATGCATGTATACATACATACATACATAAATGCTTGCATGCATGCATACAGACAGACAGACAGACAGGCAGGCAGACAGACGGATAGGCAGCCATACGTAACCTGATCGGACATGAGCGGGCAACGCCGATGTCGTCCAGTGGGCTCGATGGGGGGAAAAAAAAAAAGAAAAGGACGATGGCGACGACAAGGCGGCGGATGTCGAGGATGACGGCGTGGATGACGGGGAGGGCAGCGAGGGCAGAAGAAGGACAACAAATATATACATATACATATATACATATATATATAATCAAAAACAAAAACAAACCACACAAAAAACGAGGACGAGGAGGAAGAGATGGAGGAAAGAAGTACGAGGAGGAACGAATCGGGAATCGGAGGAGGAGAAGAAGAAGAAGGTCGATGACGACGAAGAAGGACGGTAAGGAGCCGGACGAAAACGGTGGGTCGAAGAAGAGAGGGGCCCTTGTGATCTTTTGAAGCTACAATGGGGGCTGTTAGGGGCCGTCTGGGGCTATCTTGGGGCATTGGCCTGTCGGGGTCCTCTTGGGGGCTGCTGGGGTCTTCCTGGGCCGTCTGGGCATGTCTCGGGGTTCTGTGGGATCCGCAGCCGTGCCGCTGGGCACGGAGTGGGCGTGCCCTCAGGTCCCTTGCCCAATCCACTGAACCTCAGTCCTCGATCCTAAGCTCAGCCGCCCCGATACGCAACACGCAACACGTAGCGTATTGATACGGAGCTCAACACGTATCCTGAACACGTGGGTCCGACGCGATACATTCGCCAAAACGTGGTCCAACACGTGGAGCCGACACGCAACGTATTGGCACGGACGCCTTGAGTACGGTACGTGTTGCGTATCAAAACGTGCGCATCGAGGCAGCTAAGATCCTAAGGGTTCTCGAGGGGCCTGGACCCCGAACTCGCAAATATATCCTCGGCCTTGCCGCGTGCCCCATTGGGCCTTGGCTCGTCTTCTCCCGCGCGACATTGTTCGGTTCCACGGGGGCCCCAGCACGGTCCAAAAGAGGGCCTTGAGGAGGCCCCCACGACGGTCCGATAGGGCTCTGAGCCGCCGAAAACTGCTCCAAGACTCCCAAGATGGCCCCGAGACGTCCTAAGCGGCTCCCAAGACGGCTCAAGAGGCCTCCCAAGAGCGTCCCAAGAGGACAAAGTCAGTTATCGTCCTGAGGTTTTTGACGGTGTTTGGTCGTCTCGCCTAGTATGCTTTCCGACGGTGCCAGACGGTCATAGAGGCCCCCAAGATCGCCCCAAGACGGCCCAAGAAGCTCCCAAGACGGCCCCGAGACGGCCCAAGAGGACCCCAAGACAGCCCAAGAGGCGCGCAGGACAGCTCAAGAGGGCCCCAAGACGGCCCAAGAGGCGCCCAGGACAGCCCAAGAGGCCCCAAAGACAGCTTCAAGAGAGGGCCCAGACGGGGCACCCGAACAGACATTTCGAGCCCTCGGCCCCGAAGCGTCCCCAGGTGGCCCCAAGAGGACCCCACAAGGCCCCCACCCCAAGACGCCCAAGAGGCCCCCAAGAGACCCTCAAAAGGCCCTCAAGAGGCCCCGACAGGCCTCCAAGAGGACCCAAAACTGCCCCAGGAGACCCCCGAGAGAGGTCCAAAGAGACCCCAAGAAGCATCCCTGAGAGCTCTAACCCACAACCCAGGCACGGTGGCGGAATGCTGGAGGCCACTAGATACACATGGAGCATGTGTAATGCAACTGCTATCTATATATATATATATATAGAGAGAGAGAGAGAGATGTGTGAGTGTGTATGAATGTGTGTATGGATGTGTGTAATTAGATGATTGCGCGTCTACACAAATACCTACATACCTACATGCCGACATACAGAAACACATACGTACATACATACATACGTACAGACATACAGACAGACAGACAGACAGACGGACAGCCAGACACACACACACACACACACACACACACACACACACACTTACACACATACACACGCACGTATCTACGCGCATATACACGCATATGCATGTATACGTACATACAAACATACATGCAGACATACATACATACATACATACATACAAAGAAACATAAACATACAAACATACATACATACATACTTACATACATACATACATACATGCATACGTACGTACGTACGTACGTACATACATACAAACATACATACATACATACATACATGCACATACGTGCATACATGCATGCATGCATACATACATGCATACAGAGTCATATGCCTACATACATGAATATGTGCAGGAATATATATATATGTACAAACATGTATACATACATACGTACATTCATCTGCACATGAATACATACAGGCATACATACGTACATACATACAACGATGCATGTAGACATACACACATACATACATACATACATACGTGCATGCATGCGTACACATTTATACACGTACATACATAGAGAATCCTACGTGCACGTATGCATACATATGTACATACATACAGACAACCATACATACATACATGCATGCATGCCTACATGGGCCTACACAGACATATATGCATACAAACGTGCATGCACACATGCATACATCTCAACACAGGCAAACATTCATATATAATACAAACATATATACACACACATACATACATCCATACATCCATCCATCAATACATACATGCATACGTACATGCATACATACGTATATGCATGCATACATATATACATACATACATGCATACAAACATACATGCATACATACACGTTGATACACACGTACATAATATGCGTGCGTGAACAAACACATGGCATGCCCATACCGATACCCGCGGGATCACGGCCTGGAATCCTCGGCCGCGACCCCGTGGACATAGACCGGTATGGCATCGCGTACCCATCTGGCCCCTTTTGAAAATCCTCAACCCAACAACGCTGACGTCTAACTCTTACTCCTGCTGCACTCCGGAAACCTTCCTCTGCGCGCACTACTCCCTATCGTCGCTGGAAACTACCTGACGGGCATCATGGAAAAACTCAACCGAAACGGTCGCTCTGGCGCGATCCAACGTCTTCGCGACCTTCCGCCGGCTTCCGCCGGCGGACCGTCCCCCGCTTCACGTCCGCGGGCTTCCGCAGGCCTCCCGCCAGCTTCCGCCGAGGGCAAGACGCCCCGAAGGCGAAGCCATTTCTGCAACCGCGCCAGCACACGGACCGCGGAGGCACGGACATTGATAATCGTGTTCGCCGATTCTGGTACTCCACAGACTCTTTCCAGAGTGAGTTCTGACTAAGATTGCGAGGACGAATGCAGCTGCGGCGACGAAGAAGGGGTAGCTATATCGGCATCTTTCCTCCTCGGAACTGCTTTCCTCGATCGGCACTGCACCATCGATCCTGGATCCTCGATCCAGGACACTCGACCCTGGATCGGCCTCGTGATCCTAACGTGAGCCCATTGAGAGGAAGAGACAAAGAGGAAGGAGGAGGAGGAGCAGCAGGAGGAGAACGGAGAGGAGGAGGAGGACGACGTGGAGGTGGAGGAGGAGGAGGAGGAGGAGGAGGAGGAGGGAGGGGAGAGGAGGAGGAGGAGGAGGAGGAAGAAGAGGAGGAGGAGGAGGAGGAGGACAGGGAGAGGGAGGAGGGGGAGGGGGAAGGGGGGAGGAGGGAGGAGGGAGGAGCGAGGCGGGAGGAGGGAGGAGACCGAGGCCCGCACCCCCACCATCATCGACACCTCCCTCCCGAAGTGCTTGCGGCCCGTGGAGCTCTGCGACAGGGAGCCGGGCGCCGTCCGCCTCCCTCCGAGGGGCGGCTGCGTCTCGTCCGCGGAGGCCCGCGCCGAAGGGCTCCGCTCCGGCTGCCCCAGGCCATCCTCCGCAGGGGGGGGAGGGAAGAGGAGGAGGGGGAGGAGGAGGAGGGGGAGGAGGGGGCGGAGGAGGGTGTCAGTCTCGTTCGAAGTTCGATACTTTGAGAAGGTAGAGACAGCCCTCTGTGAGTATGTGAGCCCAGGGAGCCCCAGTGAGAGCCCTGTGCACCCCTGCCTAGGCCGCCTGTCCGCAGCCATTCTGGCGCGAAGCCAGACTGGAGCCAGTCTGGTGAGTTTCAAGAAACTCGGTCCGAAGCTCAGGGGGACCGCACACGTACGCCTGGATTGTTTGGAATAAGATTGCTTCTCGTTGTCTCTCTCGTGTTGACATCATTTGATTAGAGTTGGGAATATAAGAGCTCTACCGAGCTGTAACCCCGCCGTATATCAAGATATACATCATCAAGTAATGTGAGGACATCTCGAAGCGAAAGGCTGAGATCCGTGGACAACACGCTCCACTGACATTGGTAGCGAGACGAAGTGGCAGCCCACTTCGAGGTGAATAACTCGATCTCCAGTGACATTAAGAAGGACGGAGTCTGGACAGAGTGGAGTCAAAATTCCAGTGTGGAATGGCTAGGCTTCGACACTCGAGAGTTTCGAAGAGAAGGTGAAGCTGTGGGTCCTCGGCACTAAGAAGGAGGACAGAGTCTATCTGGGCCCGCGGCTAGTGCAGGTAATGGACGAGGACTCCCAGCAGTGGCACGAAGCCAAGGTCTTGTTAGACGACTTAGTCAAGAAAGACGGTGCCGAGAGAGTCGTGAATGCGCTGAAGGGCGTTCGAGGTACCGTGACAATGCAGGAGGCAGTGTCGAAATGGAGAGAGTTCATGAGAGGCATCTACAGGAACCCGGGTGAGGGACCAAAGAAGTGGGTCTCGAGGTTCGACATTCATCTCAGCAAGATCGGCAAGGCCCTCCACGCGGTGCGCAATGACATTCCAGCGACGGGCTTCATGCACGAATTCATCCTGGGGCTGATCTTGCTAGATGGTACGGGTCTGGATCCATCCGAGCAAGCGGCAGCGCTGGCGACATCGGGTCCGAAGGGCAACTCGTACATGTACCAGGACGTGAAGAAGGCGCTGGCAGAGCAATGGTCCGAAGAGCAGTTGGCTGCCAGAGATAAGCAAAAAGGGTACAAGTCGAGAAAAGGAGTGCACGCGATCTTCGAGGACCTGGAGCAGATAGGCGAGCTGACCGCGTACGCGGAGGAGATCTACGACGAGGCTTACCAGGACGGCTTCGGAGAGGCCACCGACCTGACGGAGACGGCGATGGCAGCCGCCGAGGAGCTCGTGACGGCGACGATCGGTGACCCCTCGATCGCAGAGGAGAATCTTGGACAGGACGAAAGTCTAGCTGCGGCAGTCCTTCCCGGAGAAGAACGAGCTGACGAGTGGACGGAGACGGCATGCGCCGCTTCTCGCACGTTCCTGGAGGCTCGGAAGCTCATCAACGAGGTGAAGAACGCGAGGGGCTACTTCCCAGTGGTCGGACTGGGAGCGTACGATGCCATGCCTACTCAGCCAGGTCCAGGAGCTGGACGAGGTCGTGCAGTGAGCCGAGGTGGACCACCCTCGAAAGGCAAGGGCAAGGGCAAGAACAAAGGCAAAGGCCGTGGCACACCATCAACTACAAGGCAGAGCACATCATCAGGTACAGCGCCGAAGAAGGTAGACAAGGATACGTGTCTGCTGTGTGGAGAACAAGGTCATCGTGCTCGAGAGTGTCCCAATCGGGGCAATGGTGGAACGACAGCTGCTCGGAGAAGGGCGTTCAACAGCTTCGTGGGTGCTCTGGAGCACATCGTGGAGTTCGACAACTTCGTGGGCACGTGCACCGAGGAGCAGATCCTGGCGGAGGACGACGGCAACTTCGAGGACGGCACGTTCATCGGCTTCAGCCTTGACGAGTGCAAGGGCTACGCACTTCTGGACGGCGGTGCGTCCAGGTCCGTAGGCGGTGTTGAGCAGCTGGAGTACCTGAACGAGCACTTGCAGCACCCGATGGAGGTGAACCCGGGGGCGGGCCTGGGCTTCTCGTTCGCTGGTGGCGACCGGGCTGACGCTCCCTCGAAGGTCTCGTTTCAGGTCCACAACCTCGACAACCAGACAGTCGAGATCTACGTGCTAGACCGCCCGTCCCCCATCCTACTGGGAGTCGACATGCTGAAGAAGTTTGGGCTAGTGATCGACTACGAGCGGAACACTGTGTACTCCCGGAGGCTCAAGAAGGAGATTCCCACGAGGGTGCTGGCGTCTGGCCACCTTGCCTTGGACTTGACGGCGCTGAGCGACACTGGCTCGGCCTCGTGTTGCGAATACGGACAGCACCCTGGTCGCGACACGACGACTGTGGAAAAGACGTCATCCATCGTTGTCGCTACCAGGGGCCCAAAGGACGCTGAAGACCTTCCCAGAGAGCTCCAACAGCTACTCGAAATAGGTATCCGAATAAGATCAAAGTTCCCGAACTTGAGCACCCAGATGATGAAACCGATTCTAGAACACCTCCTGAAGTACGCGAACTGGGTCGAGGGAGACAAGGTTAAGAAGGACACTTGGATTGGAACTCCAGAGGCCCTATGTAGAGTTCATCGTCGGGTTCGTTTCCAAAAAATGTGATCCGCGTGACTTCGACGATCAGGAAATTTCGGCACTTCACGGGGAACGGATCACATATGTGATGAGAGAAAGGGGCGAAGGAATCACAGTTCGTGATAGTTTCATAGATCACAAACACGCTCGTCAAGTCGAACAGTTTCGGTGGATTGGAATCTCAGTATTTCCCAGAACCGTTTTGGCTCAGAGTAGCTACTCTCAGCCAGACAACCCGAATCTCTTCATCGGGGCAGTCAATGGTCAGATCATGTGCGCATCGGAACCAGACACGTCAGGGGACGAACGCACACGTGGATCAGATCAAGTGCAGGGACTGCGAAGAGATCCTGTTCAAGTACATCTTCGCGAAGCCGCAGGACGAGCAGCTCAGCCTCTGCACCAAGTCGCGCGAGCACTTCCAGCGGTTGGAGGCGACGGGGCACGCTCAACCACGAGTTCGTCCCTCCTGCAACCGGACATGAACTACACGGACAGCACCTCAGAGAGCGAGCCGACTCCCACGCGAAGCACTCCACAGCCTACGTCAAGCCGCCCGCTGCCGAGCAGACTGTCGTCGGAGGTCATCAGGACGCTCTCGGACACAGAGGTGCAGATGATCATCGAGAACGAGAGGAACGCGATTCGACAGGAGGAGCAGACGCGCCTGGCCAAGGAGATCATCGAGAAGGGTCTCATTCAGACTTCAGCCTCGTCAAAACCGGACGTCAAGATCAAGGTGGAGGAGATGATCGATGCGCCGAGGGCAATGAAGCGGCAGGGCGTTCCAGAACCGATGGTCAGCAAGAGTGCATACGGAATTCCAGTGCCCGAGGATCTTCCAACGCCCTCAGGCATGCCGAGGCCAGCAGGAGACTTCCACCTCGTTTGAAGAACTCGATGGTCAATACGCTTCTGATCGCGGCCACCGCGTTGGGAGCTCTACCGGGTGAAGCATGGGAAGCTGCAGAACGATATGGACGCCTGGATCTGGCGGAAGTGGCATGCGTCTCGGACTCGAGATTGACGAAGGCCGTGCAAGAGGCAGGAGGACGAGCTGAACGATTCAGTAACTGGAACGGCTACGATTTCACGACGAGAGGAGGAGCTATGAAGCTGGTCCAGGTGCTGATGGAGAAAAGGCCACGGAAGGTCTGGTTCTCACCTCCTTGTGGAGCGGAGAGCCCTCTGCAGAACCTGAACCCCATGACCGAAGAAGCGCAGAAGAAGCTGATCAAAACTCGAAAGATCCAGCGCAACATGGCGTGGGCGATCACACAACTTCGAGAGGCTGGATTCTGTGACATCTACCTGGAGCAGACAGGGAGATGCAGATCATGGACAGGCAACTTCAAGAGCCTCAAGCAGGAGCTGCATGGATGCACTATCCACGGGTGCATGTACGATATGCGCGATGAGACGGAAGACGTGCTGCTAAAGAAGGAGTGGTACATAGCGACAACTGATGAGATGTTCGAGAAGGAGGTTGGACGTCGATGTCAAGACCTACATGTTCATCTACCGATCGAAGGAGGGACTCGTGTGGCGCTAACGGCGAACTATCCCGTGAACATGTGCAAGAAGATAGCGAAGCACTTCATGAAGAAGATAACGTCCGACGAAGCCCTCTCGTATCTGGTCAAGAAAGTCAATGCGAAAGACGACGGGGTCTTTACAGTTCGTGAGCATATACGACGTCGGATCCGGGGTAAACGGTCTCCTGAAGATGACGGGCAGCAAGGACAACCCAAACGACCTACTCTCGAACCAGCCGCAGCACCCACAGAAGGGGAAGGAGAACCTGGACCTCAGGAACCAGCAGCGAGTGACGGACTACCTGAAGATCAACGCTGGCTGGGCAACCTACGTCTACCGCTTCCCAACTTCGGACACTGCAGCTTGACGACTCAAGACTCGGCAGGCCGACAAGAAGCTGGTCGATCTGTGCAAGCACTACGAATGCCCGTCGCGCAAGGCCGCTCAACGTTTTCAACTTCGTCCAATCGCGAGCTCAGAGCCTTCAGTTCCGACGCCTGGGAAAGAGCTAGGATGCGATCCTCGGAGGGCGTATCATATCAGAGGCACCCTGTGTGCAGACTACGGAAGTCGCTTCACTACGTGCCACGTACTCAACAAGGAGGAAATGGATAAGAACTGCGGCAACACCACAGCTAAGGAGATGAAGGAGACGGTCCTGAAGAGCTGGATCCAGCACTACGGCAAACCAGAAGTTCTGAGATCAGATCCTGAAGGTTGTTTTCGACAAGCGGAACATCGCGCGTGGCTATCAGGTCATGGAATTGAATGGCGACCAGAACCTGGAGAAGCTCATTGGCGCATGGGCGTGGTCGAGAGGTGCATAGAGACGATCAAGGAGATTGCGACTCGGATGGCCTGGGAAGTTCCGGACGACATCGAGCCGCAGGAGATCTTCACGTGGGCATGCGCCGCTAACAACGACCTGATGAGGCACAACGGCTACAGTCCACTTATGCTCCTCATGGGTCGCACTCCGGCTGGACATGGTCTACAAGATGAGGAGAATCCCTCCACTCTCAGCGCAGAGGTGAAGGAGGATCAATTTGAGAAGCTCGTGCTGAACAAGCGGACTGCGTATAAAGCCTGTGTAGAACACTACCTGTCCGAGAAGACGAAAGAGCGCTGCTAGCCAAGACGCGACCGTTTAAGGTCTGGGAGCCTGGCGAAAAGGCACACTACTGGAGGAGCGCCAAGGGTACCAGCCACAAGACGAAGCAGGGCATGTCTGGACGTTTCCATGGTCCAGCTACGGTGCTGATGCAAGAGCGCGAGGTCAAGAACGGAGTAGCAGAACGTCGCGGAGTCGTCTGGCTTGTGGATGGTGATCGACTGGTACGAGCAGCAGCAGCACACCTGCGCACCGTCACGAAGGCGGAGCAGACGCTGGAGAGTATTTCGGCAGGCAGCTCAGACCAGTTCCAGAAGCTAGTGCGTGACCTTACGAAGGGCTCGTTCGATGACCTAGCCGACCAACCAGGACCAGATGAATGGCATGACATTCCCGAAGGTGAAGATGGACCGGGAGGAGATCAACACCGAGAACCACCTCGTGACCACGGAGATCACCTCTTCTCTGAGGCAGGCGACGAACATGGACCGGATCACGAAGATGAAGATCTACCAGGAGAACCAGCAGAAGTTCCCGAAGAGCCAGGAGGAGGACATGACCGACCTGCTGACAGACCTCAAACCGAAGTTCCCTGGGACAACGAGCCACCTCCAGAGGGTATCAACAAGCGGGAAGCGAGTGTTGAACCTCCTGATGACAGAGACCTGAAGAGACATCGCGCCGACTTCGTGACCTACATGGAAACGCCGAAGGCGAAGGCGCCTGACATCTACATGGCCGATCTGGGACGCACAGATCCTGGCGAAGAAGTCTCTCCGGAATGGAGGTCACCCTGGGAGTACTCACAGAAGGCGAAGCAGGAAGACCTCGTCGGATATTCCACGGAGGACAAAGCAGGGCTCGCAGTACTGGTGGGCTTCACGATAGACGAGAAGGACCTGGGCCAGCTGGAGAAGAATCCAGAGAGAATGCTGGCAGCCTTGGTGAAGCAGAACAAGGTTGAGGTCAAGCTGAAGGATCTCACACCGGAGGAGGAGAAGCAGCTGCCGTTCGCCAAGGAAAACGATATCAAGTCGTTCTTGAAGTATCGCGCATGTGAAGCGGCCAGTCGCGCTGGTGTACATCCCTGAGCGTTAATGAAGATGCGCTGGGTCATCACCAAGAAGGAGACGGGCGACCTCAAGGCACGCCTGGTGGTTCTTGGCTACACTGATCCGAGCTTGGGACAGATCAAGACGGCATCCCCTACGTGCAGCCGTAGAGCGCGACAGATGTTTTTGGGAGTCTCAGCTTCGATGGGATTCCAGGTGTTCAAGGGCGATGTGAAGGCCGCCTTCCTTCAAGGAGATCTAGGAGAAGAAGATCGGAACGTTCTAGCGGAACCCGTCAAAGAACTTCGAGAAGCCTTGCGACTTGAACATCATCAGTGCATCAAGCTGAAGAAGGCCGTCTATGGCTTGGTGAACGCTCCGAGAAGGTGGTGGACCAGAGTGCGCAAAGACATGGAGAAACTCGGTTGGGTCGAGTCAGCGACGGAGCCGCGCCTCTGGTGCTTAAGAGATTCCGAAGGCCGTCTCGTCGGCATTGCAGTCGCACACGTGGACGACTTCATGATTGCGATCAACAATGCCTCTCATGCCGCAATAGACGCACTTCAAGAACTACATGGCGCCTACGAGTGGGGCAGCTGGGAGACGCAAGACTTCGTTCAGTGTGGGACTCGGATTCGGCAAGAATACGATGGTCGTACTAAGAGCTGGGGTCGCATCCATCTGAACATGGTCGACTACGCGCAGGAGCTGAAGGAGCTCGACATATCCACTCAACGTGGGAAGGATCCAGAAGCTGGAGTGACACCGGGAGAGGCTTCTCATCTACGAGCAGTTCTTGGACAACTGATGTGGCTATCCACTCAAGGCGTTCCACTCATCAGCGCCGAGCTGTCCTTGCTACTAGCCTACACGAACACGGCGACGATCAACACCCTGATGCAGGCGAACAAGCTGGTCAGGAGAGCGATGAGTGGAAGCGGTCAAGGAGCTGATCATGGAGAAGCACATTAATCCGTGTCTGGTGGGGTATTCGGACGCAGCGTGGAATGCACGCAGAGATGGATCCTCGCAAGGAGGCTTTTTGATCTTTATGACGGACCAGGCGCTGCTGCAGAATAAGGAGGCGCCGATTTCACTGATCTCATGGGCATCAGCAAAGTTGCCCAGGGTATGTCGAAGCTCAAGCGCAGCGGAAGTTCAAGCAGCCAGCGAAGCTCAAGAAGAGCTGGAGTTCTGCCGCCTCTTGCTGAGCGAGATCCTCATTGGTCCAATGCCTCTGAAGCAGTGGGCACAAGGATGTGCTCGCATTCCAGGAGCGCTAGTACTAGACTGCCGTGGAGTGTTTGACGCGCTGGACAGGTCGGAGAGCAGCGCGATGGGCATGAAGGACAAGAGGAGCGCGCTGGAGGCCTTGGCCCTGAAGAGAGGTATGGCGGCTACGGCGACATCCCTACGTTGGTGTCATAGTGGTGGCGCCCAGCTCAGCGACTGCATGACGAAGAACGCGGAGAAGGCCCGGGCGAGCTACAACCTCTGGCAGCAACGAGGTACCTGGAAGCTGATCTACGATTCCAACTTCATCCCCGAGAAGCATCGGAAACATAAGGGTTTGGACACGCTCGAGACGGGCTTTGCAGTGGATGCAGATGATGCGTGGCAGCTCTTCCCTGACTACATGGAGATCGAGGACAATGACCTGGACATTGTGAGTGACTTTCGTCACCCTGGACTGCGACAGCAGATGATGCAAGATGCGGCGCCTCAATGACGAGGCGAAAGTTCACTGTACCAGGTCAAGTTAGGCATAATAAACCCTCTGAGCTATGTGGACAGACAGGCGAGGATTTCACAGACGGTTCGGGGCATGTCAGTCTCGTTCGAAGTTCGATGCTTTGAGAAGGTAGAGACAACCCTCTGTGAGTATGTGAGCCCAGGGAGCCCCAGTGAGAGCCCTGTGCACCCCTGCCTAGGCCGCCTGTCCGCAGCCATTCTGGCGCGAAGCCAGACTGGAGCCAGTCTGGTGAGTTTCAAGAAACTCGGTCCGAAGCTCAGGGGGACCGCACACGTACGCCTGGATTGTTTGGAATAAGATTGCTTCTCGCTGTCTCTCTCGTGTTGACATCATTTGATTGGAGTTGGGAATATAAGAGCTCTACCGAGCTGTAACCCCACCGTATATCAAGATATACATCATCAAGTATTGCGAGGACATCTCGAAGCGAAAGGCTGAGATCCGTGGACAACACGCTCCACTGACAGAGGGGGAGGAGGAGGAGGAGGAGGAGGAGGAGGAGGAGGAGGAGGAGGGGGGATGGAGGAGGAGGAGGGGGAGGAGGAGGAGGAGGAGGAGAGGGCAGAGAGGAGAGAGGAGGGACGAGGAGGAAGAGGAGGAAGAGGAGGAAGAGGAGGAAGAGGAGGGGGAGGAGGAGGAGGAGGACGAGGAAAGAGGAGGAAGAGGACGAGAAGGAGTCAAGGTAGCCTGAAGAGGACGAGACGAGGGCAAGCGGGCACGACGCGAGAAGAGGGCATATCCGCGCGAACCTGCTGCACGGAACTCATCGTCGCAAGGGTACTTTGGCTGCAGCCGGCGCTTCAGCGAAGTATGCTGGCGAAGGCGCTGCTAACTGCGTATACGTTGTGAAACACGAGAGAGAGGCGAACGCAACCCTGCGAACCGACTGGCGCAACGAGGTCGCGCTCGGGCTCGGACGGGCACGCTACTGCGGGGCCCAGGCCCCCTGATGTAACTGTGCTGAGGAGCGGGGGGGAATCGAGGGACCAGAGGAAGCTCGAAAGGACTGAGCAGGAGACGTAGCAGGGAAACAAATATGGTGCACTCGGGCACCCGAACACGCGTGGTTTCGGGGCGCGCACAAGCATGCGGCGGGTGGTGGTCCAACCGCCGCTGCACGTTTTGATGACCGCCCAACGCCGGCTGGGTCGGACCTCTGCGATGGCTTCGGAGAGATCGGACCAGCGCCTGGTGAGCTCAGGAAGCGGCGGTAGCTGCCGCGTGCCCCACGATGCGAGGCGTTTCAGAAGAGAGACAGAGGATGGCGAGGAAAATGAGGCACGCAAGAGCGCACGCGCGGCCGCCTCTGCATTTCGGGCAGCGAGGCGGCACGGCGGCAGCGGACTCACGAACGCCCCGCGCGGCAGCGCGGCCCACGGCGGCCACGGCCGCAGCAGGAAACGGGGCGACACACTGACCACGCAACAACGCGCGGCAGAACAACACGATGGGCACGGGCACTTCCCAGCAGGAGGGAGCCCCGCAGAGCGCCATGAAGGCGGGCGCGGGAGGGGCCCCCATCGCCGCGCATCGTGATAGAGGCCGAGCGACTTGCCGCGGCGGGGGCGGGGACTTGGGCAGAACGAGGGACAAGCGGCGGACTCCACTCCGCAGCGGCAATTAGGTATACTTTGCAGACAGAGTTCGGCGGCAGGCTGAGCACCAGGTGAAGACTAAATTGCTCTCGGCACGCAGTCTTCGGGCCCAGCAGAAAGGTCTGGGCGACGCCTCTGAACGTGGACAGGACAGAGGTGTTGTAAAGGCGCACTGTTGCATCGCTGCAACTCTAAACTAAATTGAAGAGGTTGCCTGACCGCCACCGCTTTTGCCCTGGGGCGAGCCGATGCGACGCCAGGGGGGCCGACGGTCCAGGGGGGGGCCCAAGGCACTCGGCTCGCCCCGACACCGAAAAGCCCCCTCAGGCGGGACCAGGAGCAGCTAGGAGAGCTTTCGTTTGGGCTGAGGTGGCAGGAGTGAAAGGTGCCCCGAGCGGGACATGCACACATGCGCGCAGCTCGTGAGAGAGGGGCGCATGCCCATTAGTTGCGGCGAATGGCTCAGAGGCGCTGCGCAGCGTGCAGAACGAGATAGCGAGCAGGCCCGCGCTGTCAGCGCAGCATCCCAAGTAGCCCCTGCCGATGTCGGGCGCGCCGTCGGCATTCTCGACGAAAGAAGCGATGGGGGGGGGGGGGGGGGGGGGGCGAACGGGCCCCACGCGCTGGCCCAAGCCGACCCCCACAGAACAACCTTGCGCCACGCCAGACTCGAACACGAACGCGACGCGGCACGCCCCCCCCCCCCCCCAACCTCGACGCAGCCGTTCGGGGCGGAGCACAGGTAGCGGGCGAGGCTGAGGAGACCGCCGGTGACCCCGAAGCGCTCGGCAGCGATGCGCACGACGTGCTTGGTGAGATTGCGACCACTAACGGAGCCTTGCTGCACGAGTCGAGTCCGCTCTGGCACAGCGGCTTCGAAGAGGAAATCGGCGGCCCCAACGGTAGCCTTGAAGTCTGCGTTCTTCGGGGAGAAGGAGCGCGCGTCTCCTGGCGCTCTGCCCGTCGACAGCTCGCCAGCGGGGTGGTCGCCCTCCGGGGAGAACGCGAAGTCAGGGCCATTGAGGGCGCAGGGAACGACTTTGTTGGAGCAGAGGTGGACCAAGAGATCCCCCAGTATGTCCAGGGACGATTCACGCGCAAAACGATCATGGAGCGGCGGCCAAGTCGGGGCCAGGAGCTGATGGTGAGGCGCGAGACAGGAGGGCGCGGAGCTGGCTCCTCGTCGGCTCGCCGATGTCAGAGGCGGGGCCCCACGGCATCAGCCCGTCGACGCACTGCTTGTCCATCGATTCGACGACGCACTTGCGC